ATGGTCTGACCCACAGGAGCTTGTAAAGTGGAATCGCCACAGCAGATAGCAATTCTTATGTTATGTTCAGATACCTGGATGTCTCATAGATGCCTGGCTACAAAAATAGGACTGGGATTGTGCATGTATGTTTTTAAATGTCTGCCTTTCTGAATTGCAGACAAATATCAGTGCAGTGCTGATGGATTCTGGAAGAATTCCAATGGAGAAAAAACACTTCCCATCTGCGAGCCAGGTAATGCGCGAGTTGATATATCAAGTTTGATTGGTATAGCTAAACGAGGACTTGACCGTAGGAAAATATATTGAGTAGTTGTCTTATGACTGGTCTTTAAACATTGTTATTACCAAACTGTTGTATATGAGCACTATTCATCACAAGGAATCGTGCAGCTCCCTTTATCATGCAGAAGGAAATCAGCTTTTATTTAAGATGCATTTAAAAGAATGATCAAAACAATCTGTAGCTTTCCTAGTGATATTAAGTCTACAATATAAAACTTTTCCCTAGCTATCAGCCTTCAATGAACATCAATTTCACAAAAACTCCCTCAAAAAATTAACACCTGCACAATTGTTATTAAATGTAAAACATGCTATAATTTGCCTTGCGTTAAGACTTACCAATGAGTAACCCACTTTATTTGCATCAGATCAGTGAAAAATGACTGACGGGTCTAAACATCACAGCATCTAGAGTTCAACTGGGATCCATTGTAGCTCCCAACTCAAATTTATCCTTCTCCTCTTACACTGGATCCTTTTCAAGACTCCTCTGTGGCCTTATCATCTCAAGTTCCCCATCACTGTTATCATGAGGGCTCAAAGCTGAGCACTTGCCCTTCCCAAGGGCAATGCAAACCAGATTTAGGACTATTTACACTTGTACGTTTTTTATATATCAATTCAGAAGCACACAAGGCTGGTATGAGAAATAGTCAGAAATTTCATAATCCTTAACCTGAGAGTTCTTTGCTTATTTGAACACTAGTCTGGTTTACATGACAACACACTAACCAAGTAGGATTGAGTGAATCCAAGCCCTGTCCAGTAGCCTTATTACAGAATACTGTGAATGCTTGGGCAGCCACACAACTGATTTGCAAAACTTTTGAAGAGGACCTGAAAAAGCCTATGAAGTCCTCCTGTGAAGAACATTCTGCATTATTTAGTCATATGCATTGAACTATTAAGTATTCTTCCAAGCACAACTCTTTAGTTTTTCTACAGTTATTTCAAAGCAAATTTTTCATTCCCTATCATACATATAAGAACTAATGGAATTTAAGGCTGAAGTCTACTGAAAACATTACCTAAATAGTCACTCTTGCCCCCTTTGCAAATTATTTCACCTTTTCCAGTCCATGGATAAGTATTGTAATTTGCTTTGTGGATCCACCAGGGTAGGTTTAGTAACCAGTCTGCATCTTTAAATGCTTGGTATTTATTGCCATATTTATTTCTCTTCTCTCAGTTTGTGGAACACGAACTGTGACATCTTTGCTACGTATATATGGAGGAAAAAGGGCAAAACCTGGAGAATTACCATGGCAGGTCCTGTTAACTGATGAAAGAGGAAGAGCAGGGGGTGGTTCCCTTTTGTTAGACAACTGGGTTTTAACAGCTGCTCATGTTGTTGCTGAGCAGAGAAACCCACTGTCCTTGACCATCAAAATGGGGCTACTTAACAAATATTCAGTTCATTACCAGCAAGCCTGGGCAGAAGCAATTTTTGTTCATGAAGGTTATAAAAATGACGATACCAATTTTAACAACGACATTGCATTGATTAAACTGAAGCATAAAGTCCCAATTAATGCAAACATCACACCCATTTGTTTGCCAGGAAAAGAAGCAAGATTTCAGGTGAAAACAGATGAGATGGGACTTGTATCTGGCTGGGGAAAAACTGAGAAAGGGCTCTCTTCCAATTACCTACTGTATGCTGAATTAACAGTTACTGACCAGCAAAAGTGTAAAAACCTATATGCAAACAAGCAAGCTGCAGATGGAAAACCTCTGATAGTAACAGAAAATATGTTTTGTGCAGGAGCTGAAGGAGAGGGGAAGGATTCTTGTCAGGGTGATAGTGGCGGACCACTCGCTTTCTTAGACAGTCAGACTAAGAAATGGGTCATTGGTGGTATTGTGTCTTGGGGCCTAGGGTGTGGTGTGGCCGATCAATATGGAGTATACACAGATGTGTATAACTACATTTCATGGATTCAAAATATTATGGTAAACAATTCTTAAACCATTTTAAGTTTGCAGTACTTAAGGGAAAAGGGAGCAGAGAGAAAGTTTCTATTTTACGTTGGCACCCACACATTTAACAGATCATCTTCTAATTTTTGAGCAACTTCAAGTTTACGGGACATCTGTCAGGCATTAGAAATGCTTTCAGGTTTTATAGTAGTCCAAGTGCTTGAGCCAACTTTTTGTAATTTTACACTGAAACGGTGTTTTCTATGTTAGTTGATAGTCACATGACTATAAACAAGTGTTAACTATGCATAAAATAAATAAAACTTAAAAAAAAGAATTAACATTTAGAGGCTTTTCTGGTGAGTGTATTTTAATTACGTTTTCAGATGAAAAACCTGGTTCCGTTTGTAGTGGATGATGATTTAAAGTATAAAAAAAATATTTGGGGAAGATAAAAGCAGTTGTCACTGGCACAACTTTAACGTTCCCCTTAACGCCTGAAAAAGCATTTAAAGGGAAAAATACATTTTAGCTCTTAAAAAGGAATGCTACAATTCAAAAGATTCCAACAGCATCAAATCTAGGTAACTGCAGAAGTTCTGTGGCACAGCTTCTCTCAGAGGCTATGGGTAAAATGCTTTCACACTAATCTTAAGTGCCAGTCTTGATGTTACATTACGTGCATTTATAGGGAACCTTGCACTTTCTTGGAGTTTGTTTGTTTTTGATAACTTGTCTTTACAAAAACACCAGCGTGGGCAAAGTTAGAGCAACCAAGTACAACCAAAATTATAAAATAATATTAAAACCAATATAATTTTTGCAGCTAAGTGCAATAACATTATGTTAATGTAATTCTGCACTCCCAGTTTCTGCACCCCTGTTTAAGCACGGCAATAGAGGAAATCCAACATTTCAAAAATGTTAGTAGTATGGTCTCAACCAGTCAAATTAGAAGACAGTCAGCAGATTAGCTTAAACAAAGAAAAAGCAATTAGGTAAGTCCAGAGCATATTAAAGTATCAGCTTGCTTTTCCTAAATTAGCCTAAAAACACACACAAAACAAATGTAGTCAGTCCTTCAAATTTATAAATAAATGGGTCATGTTTCCTAGTCTCTAAAATCCTTTGTCTCTCTAGTTTCAGTATTTTACGCACAAAATAAGTGCAATTTGTTAAAAACAAGACTCCAAACACTTGCATGTAGTAATAATATATTTTTATTAGCTCACTTAAAAACACTAGAATATGCAAACCATTTAGAGAAAGTGACTAATGAAGTTTGAAAATACTTTTATAAATCTTCCAAAGATTTTGTCTGAGGGTAAAGGGAGATTAAAATTCATAGCAAAGGTTACCCAACACTGCTAACCTGTTGAGACCTGATCTTGGATTTAAAACAACTTTAAACAAATTAAAGCCATGCTAATGACAAAAAACTTACCATCAGGTTCCTCGCAGGGATGCCACACTTTAGTCTTTGGAGGTTCCAGAGTACCATTTTAAAGTGTTACTCAGCAGCAGTAGCTGGTAATAGTGCAAGTGCTAAAATGCAAAATTCACAGATGGTACAGAGTTTGGAAATCATCATGATTTAGGTTCAGAATCAAAATTAAGCAACTCTTTGTAGAGGGATATAACTAATGAAAGAGGTGGGATTGCTTCTGAATGTCTTGAATGTTTACTACCCTTTTCTTCTTTCAAGTGTTCATCAAGACCTGGCTGCCAGCAATCTACTAGTACTGCAGTATTAGAAATTAACATTAGTGCACAATTACCCAACATTTCAATGGCCTCTATTCATAAGAAAAATATGGCAAACACATACTAATTCAAAATCCCCTTTCAAAATTAAGCTAACTATCCATATCAAAAGAAGAACCTAAGCTAGTTCCCTTAATTCTTCATATTTAAAAATAGTAAATATACAGTATAATGGAGTACAGCAATAAGAGGATCAGCGTGGCATGTACTGGTTTTCAAGTACAAATACATTATAATAATTATTTTAGATCTTAACACAGTCAAGGAAGTAATACTGCTGAATGTGTTACTATTTCATACATTCACCTTTCAGTATAAAGAAGCCTCTTTCTTAGTATTTCCGAAAACTAAGCTTGTTAAATTGCTATCGGGGCTTCTAAAAACAAACAACTGTTAAGTCATTAATATTCTTGTTCAGCTGGACAGTTTCTATTGTGGTCTAACTTTATTTTAGCCAAAAGCTGAGAGTTTCTTCTGTGCTGGAATTATAATGGAAAGACTTAGCAATTGGTTCCAAATCAGCAGATTGATTTAAAGATGTCCACAATACTTTGCTATGCATTCAGCTTCAAAATAAGCTGCTCTGGAAAAATATCAAAGAGCAATAAATCTAACCTGTGTAAGTGTTTGCTTTCCTCCCCCTTACCTCTTCTTCCATTAAAAAAAAACGAAAAACAAACCACCATCACAAATCCCAAAAACAAGAAAGCTTCCTTGGTGAAAATGTAGCCTGGGAAAGAGCTGCTTACCATTCAAGGTGAGGGCACCCACACTTATGAGAACTGGATTTTAGAGATACATATCACCGAACAATTGGAAAAAAAAATAAAGAAAAAGCTGGTGGATTATAAAGGTGGGTGTCCGGTACCAATACATGATGAGTGATGGATCCATTTGACTTATTTTAGAGCACGCTTATCTGTAACAAACCAAGTTACTGCAAAGAAACTTTACAGAAGTTCATCTCAAATGGATAAAATAAATTAACTGCTATGAATTCTTTGCATTCAGGGCTGCAAAACAAAGACACATATTACTTAAATCAGTTTTATTTAAGAATTTCCTACAATGACAAATCTTATAAAAAGCATCCAAACACGGAACTGCAGCAAACAGCATTCTTATGGAAATCTTACAGACAGTGGAACTTCCAGCCTTTAGAGGCACACTGAGCTTGCTGGTGAACTTTGCCCTAAGAACTACTACAAAGTGCACCACAAGCTCAGTGTTCTCATCACAAACCCCATCATCTGCAATTCACATTACCACACTTACATATCATTAACAGAAAAGAACACACATCATACAGCATTCACAGCAGTTGACATAAGGGAAAAAAAATACAAATATTCATTTCACATAACACATTCAACTAATTGGTTAACTAGGTATAAAACCCACTTAGTCTTCCAGATATGGATGTTCTTTGAATACAAGAAACACTCGTACTTTATTTGCTATCATTGCTCTCTGCACACTCTCTCACCAAAGCCACAGGATTGAGAGACATCTTGCCAAGTAAAATAAAATCCCATAATGCACCACCAGGTCTCTGCATGCGCTCTCTCCTTTTTCTCGCACATACCAGCCCTCTCATGCCTCGGCACCACCATCAATCCCACACAAGGTTTCAAAGTTCAAACAGCCTTCTGGTTCCATCTCACAGCCTTGCGTTCATAGCGTTGATACGACTCCATGAAATAAAGAGTAGCGGATAAAAATGGAACACCCACCGTCTAAGACGTAGCATGTGCAGTGTGATGAAGTTTTCTTGGATGAGAAAGCATGTAGACAGAAGTATTCCTAAGGCAGAATATTTACAGCACTGCTTTCAATGAAGTGCTTCTTCCATACACATTTGAAATGAGATGAACTGCAGAGATTAAATGAAGCCTTCATATCGTACTTTAACATGAGGGGAGACAGTGTTAAAATGAAAAAAAAACAAACAAACAAAAAACTAACACTGACGCTGCGTTCTCCAACTGGGGCGTTTGGAGAGATTCTTATGGTGGGGATCAAATTAAAACAAGAGGGAAAGAATGCAGTTCCTGACCAATGGTTTTCATTTTGGACATGCAAAGAATTCAGCTAACCAGAAAACAAGGGACAAATTACTACAGAAGCCTTTCCTATCAATTGTAGTGTTAGTTTACCCATCAGGCAAACTGCAGTTCACTGTCAACCATTCAATAGTCCAACAAGTCATGTAACAAAACTTATAAAATTCCTTTAGCCTTTCTTTTTACAAAAGAAAAAAAATGTCAAAAATACTGTTGAATATACTGCACATTGAACAAACTGATTTGGAAAATTTTAGTATATATGTAATTTACAATATACTTACCATGACTTTAGAAAAATTTGATTTCCCACCATAGAGTCAGCATCCGAGCCCAATGTGTCTACATACCCCAGCCCGATGATTTGGAATCCATACTTGAACCAAAGCCTCCGTTAAACCCACTGCTTGAGCCTGCATTTGATGCTGAGCCCCAGCCTATTGCTGCCCCCGAGTTGGATCCGCCGTAAGAGTTATTTCCTGAACTGAAACCCTGGTTCTGCTCCCTTTGCATGTTGCCTTGAGGCTGGTTGTTTCCAGATGGACCTGACTGGTTCTGTTGACTAGCTAACATGCCCATCATTCCCCAGCTGCTCTGCAATGCTGCTTGGGCTGCTGCCATCATAGCAGGATTGATGCTAAAAGCTCCAAAGTTCATCCCACCACCCATATTACTGCCCTGGTTGTTTCCCAACCCACCTCCTCCCCCTCTGCTGTTACCAAATCCACCCTGATTCCCAAAGCCTCCTGGATTACCACCAAATCTTCCACCTCTTTCTAACTGTCTATTACTATTGTGCTTAGGTTCAGCATTGGATATATGTACGCTGATTCCTTTAATGATCAAGTCTTCTCCACAAAGAGACTGGGCAACCTGTAAGACATAAGGGATATCAGCAAACATATGATTAGATAATATATATTTTACACTTGGTACAGCACAACATAAAAAATATATTATTCGAAACAGATCTCTAAGCTGCAACAGGAGAGTATACATTTAATTCTCTGATTCAGTTAACACTTTCTATAACTGACTCAATCTAGTCTTAAGACTTTTTAGCTGAAAAAAACTTTAAGTAAACTATAAGTTTGAACATGCAAATCAGTTATATTCCAAGTAACATTGGAATTCTAAAACTGGATGATCCACGTCTGACCTAAATTATACATTAATTAACAATGTTTCTGTATGAATGATAAATACGGATACTGAATGCTTAAGAGCAGTTCTCAGACTTGAAGCAGACCACTATTAATCCTCAGGACTTCTCACAGACCGCTATGCATCTTATCAAACTTCAAACTGAAGAATGCGAGGTGGAGGCACTATAATGTGAAGGCAATTAAACGCAGTCTTGTGGCCTGCAGTTTGGGAACCACTTGTGTAAGTTTCCTAAGCATTAGAGATGGAAGTACATAGGAAGTACCTACCTGATCATCTGCAAACGTAACAAAAGCAAAAGCTCGGAAGGGTTTGGGAATGAAGACATCTACTACTTCTCCATACTGAGAAAAGAACTGTCGGAGCTCATCTGCTGTCATGTCCTCAGTGCAGCGACCAACAAACACCTTTCTGCTACGCAAGGGCTCATCAGGACTTTGCTGGGTAGGATTTAAAAAAAAAAAAAAAATTACCGAGTAGGAACTGCTAGTCATCTGAGCATGGAAGACAACGGAGTTTCTTGTACAATAGCTCATTATGCACATTAGGAATATGACAGTTGTTGTAAGATAAAGAAAAGCAATCCTCCACTCCAGATAGAGAGAACATCACAGAAGACAGTACCATCCAAGAGAAATACTACCAGACTGAGCCAGGAGTTACTCTGAACAAACAGTGTTGTAGGTTTCAGGACTGCTTCCATTTCACTAGACATAAGAGGGAACCATTACATTCCAGCTCTGATACTGTTCTGCTAACTCTCACAGTGGTGGAAGGACAAGTATATACAGCCCACCACAATCACAGTCTGCTCTTCTGAGTGGGGGTTTGCTTATGACTGGAACATTTTCTACCCTGATACAAATGGGACAGGTATATAAAATGAAACATGCAAGAGGAAGATGAACTAGAAAAAAAAGATGACAAAAAGAAACTAGCTAGGTCTTTCTGCTGTAAGTATTCAGTTTGTATCCATATACATGGAAAGAACAACATCTATCTAGTCTGCAGTTCTGAGTTTTGTTCCCAGCTCTGATACAGACTCAACTCTGGCCTTAAGCCAGTTAAGCACCCCTGTTTTAATTTTCTCTATTTGCCAATGTATCGGGAAGTGTTTAAGCAAGGACTGATGAACATTTTCTGTGATGTCATCAGGATGCTTTCTATAGTTTGTACACTTCCTCTGTACTATCTTACTATTTTCTCTAACCCTATTCCACCTACTCCTCCAACTCAGCTTCAGTCCCTTCTCCTATTTTCTTAGTCTCATCCTCACCTCACAGATCCTGCTAAAAACCACACCTTTTGTTTCTATGCAATTAAGGCAAAATACCTTGGAATTGGGAAGTTTACAGTCGCACCATCTTCCATCTATCATGTGTCGCTGAGACATCACTTTCACCTGGGTTTCATAATCCGTAAATCGAACAAAACCAAACCCCTTTGAGTGACCAGATTTGATGTCTTTCTTAACCTAAGAAGGAAAAAAAAAAAGTTATCCGTAGTTATAATCCTGAAAAATCACAATACTATGAACCAGTATTTATAAGTTACCTACAATCCATGTTAGTTACTGGTCATTTTCTGATCAAGAAGAAATACTACTTGCTGAAAGTGTGCAATGTGAAGTTTTTATTACTTAGCTCAGTATAGATTCATAGACATTAGGGCTGGAAGGGACCTTGAACATCATCAAGTCCAGCCTCCTGCCCCAGGGGTAGGAAGTCAGCGAGGGTCAAAGGACCCCAGCAAGATAAGCATCCAAGCAGTTCTTGAATACATCCACAGTAGGTACCTGCACCACATTTGGAGGGAGTCTATTCCAGGTCTTGGAGGCTCAGACAGTAAAGAAATTTCTTCTTATGTCCAGCCTAAAACAGTCTTGTAGGAGTTTATGACCATTGGTCCTTGCTGTGCTCTGGTGAATAGACATTCTCCCAGATCCTGATGAACACCCCTTATGTACTTATAGGTGGCCACCAGGTCCCCCCAAGCCCGCGCTTTTCCAGACTAAAGAGTCCCATGGCTCTCAGCCTCTCTTCATACGGCCTATTCTCTTGCCCTCTGATCATGCGTGTGGCTCTCCTCTGGACTCTCTCAAGCTTCCTGACATCCTTTTTTGAATTGCGGAGCCCAGAATTGGATGCAGTACTCTAGCTGCAGCCTTATGCCATTCATCATCTTATGAAATAACTCCTGGCACTGACAGGAATGAAGGCAGGGGAAAAAACCCCACCTACAGACTTTATACCCATGAAATCAGAATGCATCAGTTACCATCGCAAAAAACAACAGGATTCAGTGGACAATTGTTTTAATACCTCAGACAAAGCTAAACTTAATGCCCAGACTATAAAACACAAGTCTTTAAAGTAACAAAGCTACTTAACAACAAACTAACACGAACAAGCAAAACAAAGCAGACCTTTTCTGGATCTCACGTGCACTACTCTAGACAAGAACAGAGCTGCAGAAAAGGGATTTTTCTACCTGAGCACATGACAATGCAACCAAGAAAAGCACAGCACACTGCAAATTAGATTTGATCACAATTACAGGAAACCCTCGCTATTTGCAGATTTGGGGTTTCGAATATTCATGGTGCAAATATTCAAACCCACGCTCTCTCTCCCTAGTGTATAGCGTTATGGCGGCAGCAGCATCTGCAGGAGCTCTGTGCTTGCCACCACCAGGCTCCCGCCAGCATGCACCGTTCATGAACGCAGACACAAAAGTTCATGAATGTATCCACGAATTTCCCCGTTTACAGGGATCTCTAGAACATATCCCCCACGAATGACGAGGGTCTCCTGTACTAATATACTACTGACTCATTCAAGAAGTTTTGGAAGTGGGAGTCCATGGCACTCTCCTTGAGAAAGTGTAGCAGAACTCTACCTGCACCATCAGAACTTCTCCAAAAGTGCTGAAATATTCTTTTAGATCCTGTTCAGTGGTTTTCCAAGGAAGGCCCAAAACTATCAAATCAGAAGTCTTCTGCACTGCTCGTTTCACTTTCACAGCTGATGACGCATCCGTTTCATCCATTTTTCTCTTGTTATCTGAGATTAAAACATACATAAAAAAAATCCACAAACTGTATCTATCACCAGTCACAAGAAGCACAATACAAAAATCCTTTGTGGAAGAAAGCATCTGTTGCAGGAAATTTAAACTGTAAAAGTGACATATGGCATTTCTTGTCTATATGTTATAATTCAGACTGTTCCATAATCTTGGGGCAGGGGCAGAGAAGTTAAAGGCTTAAACCCTCAGCTATATCACAAATTCAGCTACCTTCTACTGCAGAACTGCTCAATGATATTCACACGCCTGCCTGATATATGTGCGTGGCAGATACCAGCTGAGACAGGACAGCTCAATCCAAAACGAAAAGCATTCTCTTTAGTTCACTTTCTTTCCTTTTCTTCTTCATCTTCCCCATACACTCTCCCAATAACAACGATGTCTGCCTCCAATCTTGGTATGACTGTCACATGGCCAAACACCTGCCACCGCACAGAGATTATTATAGGACTGGGGGCTTTAGAAGTTTCCCAAAAGATTTGAAACCCTTTACAAACATGGGAACAATGCTTTGTTTTTCTAAGTATCTTTAGAGTTAAATATAACCCCACATGTCAGAGGACCTAAAAGAGCAACAATCACTCTGCAATGCAGCCACAACTGACAGGTAAGTTCAGGAACACAGACAACAAACCTTTGGGATAATTAACGACATAGACTAGATTTCCCCAGCCAGCCTCTGGGGCATGCAGGATTCCTTCCACCAGCCGGACTCCCCTCATACACTGAGACACCGGGTTCCTGTAACGCAGGCCACATGCTCCTGGGAACTGGGCGGTGACCGTTGACAGCAAGACAGTGCCATCATCCTCCGAGGGGATCTCGATGGGCTCGTCATTCTCGTCTTCAGTGACTCGGATGTACTCGGACATCTTCGCTGGAGAATACTAATGGATTGGAAAAAGAGAGAGAGAGAGAGAGGTAAACAATTTGTTTCTTTCTATTTAGGGTGGCATTTACAGTCCTATTAGTTTCAACATGGTGCATTTTGCAGCAGGACATCCCAAATTCCTCTGTTCTGGGGCACTGGTAACAACCCCCACGTTCTTTGTCACGCTTCATGCACTACCGAGGTGATGCCAGCGCCAAGAGACTTGGGGAAGTGTGTGGTGACCCCAAAAGCGTCCCTCTGCCTCCCCCCAACCGCTCAGAGGGTCCGATAGAAAGACGGATCGCCCGGAGAAGCCTTGCCCGACCGCCCTGCGGTACCCTGGGCTGACACCGGTGCGGCCCGTGGGCCCAGCTGCAAGGGAGGTCACAACCCCGCAGCTGCGCGGGCGGGGCGGGGGAGCAGGACGAGACCACTCGGGCGGGGGGAAAACTAGAGGGGAGCAGGGATCGGACCATTCCAAGGCTGGGGGGGGGAGAGACCACGTGACCAACTGGGTGCCCTTCCCCCCGCTGCTGCACTGGGCCCAGTTGTTAGGCCCTATCCCAGGCCGCTCACGCTCCGCGAGTCTCGGGGCCTACCTGCCCCGGCACGCGCGCAGGGACCACCCCCCCGCGCCGTGCTCACCCGTGCGGGGCTCGGGCGGCGGGGCGGGTGCGGGGTGTAGGGTCCGGGCCGAGGGGCTGAAGGCGCCTCCTGCCGCTGCCGACAAAATGGCGGCGCGGGCGCTTCTCACTCGCGGGGCCCGGCCCCGGGCTGGACCATTCCCATCGAGGGGGCAGGCAGCGCCCTACAGAGCCCCGGGCCTGTGTGGGACGGGGTACCACAGGCCTCGCCGAAAGCTTAAATGTTCCTCAGGCGGAACCGAGCCTTCCTAGGCAGCGGCAGGGCGAGGCCTCCTTCCCGTTGCCCCTACCACGGGGCGCCAAGTGGTACGGCCCACTCCGCAGCCAACGCGCATGCGTAGACGGGTGGGGGTGGCTGAGAAGGCGGGGGCGGAGCTTTGTTCGTGGCTCCGCAGGGGGCGTGGCCGTGCTGTTCCCTCGGGGGGGTGGCACCTCCCATTCAGTGCCTGCCCTCAGGGCAGATGCGTGGGCGTGGGGGCTGCACGTGCCTGAGTCGGGCCGTGAGGGTGCCCTCTTGTTTTAAACCTGTGACCTCCCTGCGTCCCTCTGGTGCCTTCAGTTGTCCAGGGGGGGGTTTCCGTGTCTTCCTCTTGCTTGCAGCCTCCAGCATTTAAGGTCTAGGGTAGGGGCAGACAATTATTTTGGGCGAAGGGTTTTGGCAAGCCATTGAGGGCCGCATGAGAGACAGCCAGGGGCAGATAAATATAAACTTCCTAAATCTGTAGGGGCCCTGTGGGCTGGATAGAATGGCCTGGTGGGTTGCATGTGGCCTGTGGGCCACATTTTGCCTACCCTGGTCTAGGGACCTCTGATTCAGAGGCCGTGCCCCTTGCTCCCCGCTCAATAATAATTGCCTGGAACCACCAGCGGGGAAACCAGCAAACCCAAAAGTGCACTTCTACCCGCACCTCTGGTTTTGGGGCTGGCGCTTCCAGAGGTGCATGGCCAAACTCGGGGTGCACATGCACCTGCGTGCACCCCCTACGTGTCACCAACGCCATGTTTGGTTAAAACTTAGCACCTACTCATTTCATTTTGTGACCCTGAGCTCTTGTATTGTGAGAGATGGTCAATAATAAATCCCTATTTACTTTCTCTTTGCCATTTAGTGTATTGTAAACCCTTATCATGTCACACCTCAAGCATCTCCTTTCTAAGATGACTAGGCCTTGCCTTTTTACTCTCCTTGCACGGAAGCCCCTCCGTGCTGTTATTATCCTGGTTGCCCTTCTTTAGTTCTTCTATGTTTTGGAGGTGTGAGAACCAGAACTGGGTACAGTATTCAAAGTGTGGACGCACCATGGATTTATAAAGGAGCATAATGATACTTTCTGTTTTGTTTATAATTCTGTTTTTTAATCATTTCTAACGTTTTGTTTGCTTTTTGACAGATGCTGAGCACTGAGCTGATGTTTTTAGCAAACTGCCCACGATCACTCCCACATCTCTTTTCTGTATGGTAATGGCTCATGTGGAGCCCATCATAGTGAAGGTATGGTTTGGGTTATTTTTGCCCAGATGCATCACTTTACACTTATCTACATTGAATTGCACCTGCCAATTAGTTGCCCATTTGCTCAATAGTGTCAGATCTTTCTGTAGTTCCTCATGGTCTGCCTTGGTCTTTACCACTTGAACAATTTTGTGTCATCTGCAGATTCGGCCACCTCCCTGCTCACCCCCTTTTCCAAATCATTTATGAGTATATTAAACAGCACTGGTCCCAGCACAAGATTCCTAGGGGATTCCAGTGTTTACTTCTTTGCGAAGTATATGAAGACTGAAAGTCAGCTTTTTTAAAATAAAGCAATGTTTATCAAACACACAGAAGCTTGGAGTCTTCCTACATGGGGTGGGCATTATTATGGGTTGGCATGCATTTTTACCAACCCAAAGCAATGGTAAAGTTGAAAGTGTGTGTACATGATTTAAAGCTAGAATCGTTGTGGGGCTGCCGTAATCACTCCCCAGAAGAGTATTTATTGTAACGCTGGTGATTTTAATGCTAACATAGGGTAAGAAACAAGAGAGGCACTCAACAAGGGGAACTTGGTCTGTGCTCAGTTTCCCAAAGCCAGAGAAACAAATTGTGCCTTCCTGCAAAGTACTTCTCAGTAGTGATGCAATGGGCATATTAGTGTTGTGGCCCCAGATTCAAAGTAGCTGACTCTTGATCACAAAGGTTTTTTCATATCTTTTCCCCGTGGAGTCTCAACAGGGACTTTAACCACACAGAAAACTATCTGCTACCTGTAGTGATGCTCTGAAGGAAAAAAACTAATGTGTATTTAACAAATATTTAAATGTAGTTTAGGATCACATGTCCTGAAATGCTTCAGTAGTAACTGTGGTTATTTCAGAAGCTTGTGATGACTGGATTAAGGATATTTAAGGGTCTCAACTGTGCATTCCTATATCTTAACATGTTTGTCCTGGTCATTGCAGGGGAATGTATTTGATATTTAGGGTTTTGTTTTATTTTTTTAATTAGCAATTCCTGCAAATATTTTTTAGTTTAGCTACTGTTTATTATGGGTAAAAACCCAATTTTCTGCAGATCTTGCAAGATGTAGAAAATCTTTGAGAACACTGAGGTCAGCTAATTGAGTTCCTCAGTCTAGAAGAACTCTTCCTTCACGGAATGACTAAGCTCCTGTGGATTTCTAAGGGAACATAACCAACATCGATCTAGCCTGGAGTTTGTTTACCAGAGCCTGAGAAAGAAATCATGCCTAATTGCAAAATCTAAATTCTAGATCATATCTTACCCAATAACACCCCTTTAATCCATGTTGAGATACTGGCTGGTGACTGGAGCTGGGGACTTGAACCTGAAACTCCTGGATTTTATTCCCATCTCTGATGCAGATTCACGGTATTGCCTTGGTACTATTGTTTAGCTTGCCTTTTTGCCATTTCTTTAGTTTATCCACTTATAAAAGAGGGGTAATGTTATTTACATCCAACAAGTATGTTGAGGTTTAACTCATAAACATCTGTGAAATCCTTTTGCAATCCATGACCAAGAAAAGAGCTAGAGAGCTGCAGAATATTACAGCTAAAAGATGGTTGTGTCATCTGTGTCCCGTCCCCCACCCCACCACCACACTAAGTGTCCTAGTTACTGCTCTATTTCTTAGGTTGCTACTGCCACATTCCACCTGCCCTTATTCTCAGACTGCCTGGCTGCATCTGTCCTCTTCCCACAAGATACTTCTTCATTTTGTGATTTAATAGAAGAACCTTTTTCCCTATGCATTCTCTCTAACAAAGCTGGCAGGAGCTCAAATCATGTGAAGGGGAGGGAAGGGCACATCAAAGGAGGCAAGACTTATGAAGCCTTTTGCTGGGAACAGGATGAAGAACAAAGTGAATAAACTTATGGAGCTTGCAGAAAGTAACAGGCTTCTTCGAGTGTTACAAAAAGTTTTTAGGATTGGGGGAGTTTTTTGGATTGATGCAGTGCAGATAACTGTGCAAAACTGAGTGGAAGTGTCAGTTCATGTGACAAATGTCTTAATGACAGGCTGTGCTTTGTGTGGTGAGACAGCAGCTCAGATTTGGGGCTGAGTCTCTCCAGAGAGCCAAAGCTGCTCTCTCAGCCCCTGTCTAATGTCCATTTCCATATGTCATTTCATTGCAGTCCAGAGAAAGAAGATCCCACACATTAGATTGACAGCATACTTAAACTGTCACAATTCTTACACGATGGTTGGCAGATTGGAGTCTGGTGTTGATAAATGTGCTGTGCAAAGGTGTGTTCATAAAATAAGAATTGGTTTCCATAGACCACCTTTCATTCTGAAGGTGAATGTGATTAGTTACTGGTAGTGTGGCAACTGCACAGGCCAAACAGGCTGTTCTCATGTCCTCCAAAATGGCTCTCACACAAATCTCAACTAGATTAGATACTATTTCATAAGAGAGGAAATGTTGAGCATAGCCCCCTCTTGATATATCAACTCCTGGGAGATCTTCAGTTGCCTCCAGTGCTTAGAAAGGATGGGAGTGGGACAGTCTTCCAGTCAAGAAACAGTTCTTTTTCCCTGACTTGGCCAAAACTGGATTTGTAGGCAGACTGGAAAGGAAGCAAAATCAGTTAATAGTTCTGATATTATCCTTTCACAGCTAGTAAGTGTTTACTGGGAGGTGGCTTGTCTTGATTTTTTCCCCTTTCTTTATGCTTTTTCTTCCTTCATTTAAAAATTACAGACCAGCTCCAGATTTAAAGTGCATACTGACTATGTCTCCCTGGCAGTTTGCCTGGCCTTTTCAATCCAGAGTTTTCCATGCAGCCATCGTAGAAAGGATTGCTGACTGCATTTCAGTGTTGAGTTCCACCTCTCCCTTCTCCTCCCATTAGAAAATGCTGGATATAAATGAACCACATGAAGGGGCAGAACAATGGCTGTCAAGAACACTACTGTTCCCACATGGTATGGCTCCATTAACGATAGCAATTTTCTGTTTTCCAGGGTATAGCCTTCTGGATACATTAAACTCTCACATTTTATACTTTGCAGTGATAATACTGTAAAACTATAAATTAATAGCCTTTCTACAGTTTTAATCAATCACACTTTATGTGTCTGGATAATTGCCATTCCACATTTCTGTACATTATTATAAAAATATCAGAAAAAAAATGATAAACTTACTCAGTCCATCAATCACAAAAGACAGCCACATTAGTTGCAAGGCACGTATGTCAGAGACATCTGTAATGCAATCCGTTTTCACTTCAAGATATATATGAACAGGACGTCATGTAAAGCAATCATTAGGAGGGCTGTAAAGGACTCCCTGTCACTGTGTTAACAGGACAAGTGGAAAGACAAGTCTGTAGGGCACTTTCTCTATGTTACTCCACCAATGTAACCTAAACCAGAGGGTTGCACCCCCTGTCCTGGCGAGAACAATTCTGCTTCTACATTGTTGTACTTGTGCTTCCCCACACTATTCCACCCATGCTATCCATGACCAAACCACAGAATGAATCATTTTCTAATTCCCAGGAGCTTTGGGATTGCCAATATCATCCCATAATAGATCTAATTTCTAGAGAGAGGTCACCTTGCCTGGTGGGAGAGCTGAATTCAATCTCTTG